ACTAACGTAACAGTTACTGAGCCACTAAAACAAACCCTTAAATTTTCCTTTCCTTTTCATACACCATTAACCCACACTATATGAAGATGTTTGCAGCAGCTGTCAGATAGCCTTGCTATAACTCTTCATTTTGTTAGATACAGCTAGAAAACAATCAGAAGAAATAAGAAAAAAGCAAGAGGCAAATAAAGAGAGATTACTATAAAGCTGCATTGTAAATGGAGCTTTAAAATACGTCTAATTTCATTTGACTTTTAAAAACATTTTATACAATGTACATTACTTTAACAGTAAGAAACTACTTAAAAATACACTTCATTCCTTTATTCATTTAACGAAATACCACAAATAATAACCTTATTGTTGCTTTAATGTCACATATCACGGCCTGAGAAAGAGGAAAGTGAGTTCTTATTCATTACAGCTCTGATTCAACAAGGTACTTACTTTAAAGCATGTCCTCAATGGGACTGAGGTCTATATGTTACATAGTACAGCAGAAGTATAAAAATATTTAGATTGCATTACTTAATCCGCTTAAGCATTAGGTTCTAAAATCCCTCTCCTGCTAAAACTGAACCTTTATAATATCATTTGGCTTCTATAACTATCTAACACACAAAATTACTTCATACCTGTAACTGCTGATATTGTTTTACATTCAATTTATCTGCAGACTTTGTTATATCAGGATCATGCATAACGTCCTCTAAAATCCCTTCCGTTTCCTCAGTCTCAGAAGTAGAAGCACTTTCCACTGTCACTTTCACAGGAATGCCTGTCTGCTTGTATAAAACAACCACATCCAGTATATTATTAAATAATACTTGATGAAGAAATAGCATTAGTAACTGCTTCATTTGGAAGCCATTTTATTCATAGAATTCCTTCTTCTAAATTAGTTATGACATATTCATTTCACAGTCATGCACGATCTAGAAGTAAGGTAGGCCTAAAGAAATATGGTTAATCCTTTGCAAAGAATGTCTATGCTAAAATGAAACAATCTGTACCAGTAGGAGCAAACTTTTACTTCATTTACAACCTCTTTGGTCTGTGAAGACACTACGGGGATGGCCTCTAGGCATGAGGTACCTGCAGCACACGCCATGCAGAAGCACAAGCAGCAGCTGGTGCACTACACACCGCCCTGCACCACCAGCTGGGGCTGGGGCTGCGGTACAGCGGAGAGAACCAACGCCATGCTCCACAGCAGCAGCAGGAAGCGGAGGGTGGCTCTGGTCTGGGTCATGCTGCGGGTAGCAGAAAAACAGCAAGGAGCTCTAAGTGGTTGCCATCCTGCCCAGAGCAAGTCTAGCCCCAATGCAAACTGGAGGAAGGAGGAGACGATGCCTGTGGCACCCTGTGCCTCAGGCTGGGGCCCCCACACTGTGCCAGACAGCCTGGCCACGGCCCCCTTCCGCCTCTAGGCAGCATTTCCTGGCCACCCCACCCCTGTCCCAGAGAGCATGGGTACCAGCCCCCAGCACTGCCAGCCTGGCCACACAGCTCCCAGCCACTCCCAAAAGAACCTTCCCCCTACTGGAGAAGCAGGTGCAGGTGCCGGTGCCTCTGGGCAGGGCCTGCTGGCAACAGCATGGAGCTGGGCTCACAGGTAGCACTAAGTGCTGCCTCAGCCCCCCTGCCCCAGTACAGCCCTGTTGCCTGGACTCCTCCTCCCAGTGCTAGCAGGGCCCCCCCCCACACCATCGCCTCATCATGCACACCCCCCCACACACACACACACATACACAGCCCCCTGCAAACAGTCCCCAAGCCCTGGCCCTCCAACACCCCCGCCATAGATGTACCTGTATCCAGGTGCCAGGGCAGCTCCCACCACCCTGCCTGGCTGCATACCAGATGTGCGTGCACGCACACACAAACACATGGCACCCCCTGCCTCCAATTACCCTTGCCCTGCTCCTCCCAGCCCCACATAGCTGCTTGCAGGCTGGAAAGCTGCCTTTAAAAGGAGAAAAATCATGTTTTTCCACAATAAACAGAAAACCAGACCCTGTTCATTTATAAAATAATGACACCAGTAATAAAATAAAAAAGGTTCTCCTGAAATGCTGAATTGTGACAACGTAGTATTTTCTTATGCATAGCTTAATTAAAAGACTGCCATAAAGCATCACAAATCAGACAGCACTCTGCTCTGCATTTCTTCAGTTTTATGGCATGAGTTCTTTATAGCAAGGTTATTTGTTCAGTATATTATTGCTGATCTTCAGCATCGTGAATATCCCCTAGCAATACACAAATAAGAAATCATAATACCTGGATCTTCAGTGGTAACTCATGGGTACTATCCACTGGAAATCCCCTAAAATGACAGGGTTAAAATATTTGTGGTTTTTAAAAAAAATAAATATTGCAATTTGTCATGACTGCAGTTACAAACAAGTTTCTAAGTCATTCAGAAGTATATAATAATTGAGAATAATAAAAGTATATTATAACAAAAAGAAACAAAAATACATGACTGAATCCCCTGAATGTATTGGGCACTTTTACACATGCTCCAGGGGAGGCAGGGCTGGTGCTTTAATTAGAGTAGCTCCAAGATCCGCTCTAATTAAAGCGCCACTGCGTCCCCCGTATCAGCATCCCGGTGCTTAAAAATAGCAGAAGAGGCATTTGAACTAAAGCTCATTCAACAAGCTTTAGTTCAAGAGCCCCTGCTGCCATTTTTAAGCGTGGGGACGCTGCTGCACAAGAGACAGGAGGCTGCTGGAGTGCAGCAATTATCATGCTCCAAACAGGCTCAATCAAGTCTGTTCTACTGCGCTGGAATTCCAGCATGCTGAAGCAGCCTCCATGTTCATGGATAGGCACCCACTGTTATTATGGTATCATTCTGTACACGGTCGCTATACTTTCTAATCAAGAAACAGGCCAAGATTGTCAAAACTGGATATCCAACCTGGATCCTTAAACATGCAAAGATTGGTGCTATTCCAGCTGCCTTTGAAGTCAATATGAGATGCTGGGTGCTTGCCACTTTTGAAAAGTAAATTTTATTACAATGATAAAACATGGACTACGGAGCCCAACTCATCCAATTGTGTACATCTTGGCCTCTAATTCTAAAAGTATCCTAATAACCTGTACACCAGGGGCAGGGGGGCAATTATTTCGGTTGGAGGGCCACTCAGTGAGTTTTGGTGAACTGTTTAGGGCTGCCCTTTGACAGGTGCCCCACCCCCTGGTCACCACTGTGGGACTAGAAGTCCCGTCCCACTAACCCCTGACCTTAGCCACTAGAAGCCCCTCCCCTTGCCCCTGGAAATAACTCCTTTTGGGAGGGGGTTGCCACCTTGGAACCGGATAAAAACCAAATCATACGCTAAAAGTCAAACATCTACTATAACATGTTTTAATTTTATTTCAAAAAATATTTTTGTCCTGATTTATGTGCATTTGCATAGTATATATAGAGATGATTGCAAAATAGCTCAAAAATAAAGCCTTACTCTTGTATATTGTCAAGGGGGGGTTATGGTTGCAAGTGTGGGTGTGTGTGTACGCTAGGGGGTTGTATGGGCAGGGTGTGGGTGTGATGGACGGCGGGGGGAGTGAGGACCACCCCCCCATGGCACTGTGACACACAGCCCCTGCCACCAGAGGCAGCACTAGCTGGAGGCAAGCGCTTGGGGTGCTCATGGCCCATGCAGGCACAGCTGCTCAGCGGTGCACAGCTCCAGCCAGTTCCGATAGCTGCACATGGCAGGGAGGAGCAGAGCCAGGCTGGCCCACCTCTATTGTGCAGGGCTCACTTGCAACTCCTGGGACTTGTATGCCACTGGGTGGAAGCCCCATGCATTGAAGCCAGCTGCCTTTACCCACTCTCTGCTGCCATGTGCAGCTCATGGGACTCTGCAACTTCCAATCACTTGTAGCAGAGTCCTGTGAGCTACACGTGGCGGCAGGGAGTGGGGAAAGCAGCAGGCTCCATTCTGCGGGGCTTCCCCCCAGGAGCGTGCAAGTCCCATCTGCATGGTAGCAGTGAGCTGGCCTGGCTTTGCTCCTTGCCACCACATGCATCTCCCAGAACTGGCTAGAGCCACACGCCACTGGGTGCCTGCATGAGCACCCTGAGGGCCTGCCATTGGCTGCTGCTGCTGCTGCCAGCAGGGCCTGTGTGTCATGGGAGCTGGGGGGTGTGAGGGGGTCCCCACATACCCCCCCACCTCAAAAACAACAAACCCAGCTCACCCAAGCTCCATGCTCCTGCCACCCCTCTGGGTGCAGGCCCTGGGCTCCCACCAGATCCAAGCTCCATGTTCCTGCCCAGCTGTAGCTTTCCTATCTGTTTCCTGGAGCAAGCGCCATAGCAAGGACATGAGGAGGAGCCACTGGAAGCTGGGGAAGCTGGGAAGGCTCCCTGGTAGTTACAGCAGTAGCCCTGCCTAGAAGCTGTATGAGCTGGCCAGGGCCAGGGCCCGGGCCCTCCTGCACGAGGCTGGCAACGAAGCATGCAGGCTGGGCAGAGTACAATTAACTGGTGGGCACCTGCAGACCAGATGAAATTGCCTGGCAGGCCAGATCCAGCCCGCGGGCCGTATTTTTTCCACCCCTGCTGTACACCCTTATGTACGTTTTGCCAGACAAATCTTTACAAGCCAAAGCACTACAATAACCTTTATTTCTGTATAACTGTTTGTTTTACATAAATATTCCACAGTAATTTATCTTTTTTTGTACTTGTAAGACCAAAATAACTATTTTAGAAGGGAAAGAAAATATGCATCCATACACACTTTTTCTTGAAGACTAAATGTCAGACTTGCAAATGCATTCTGGGCTCAGAAAGTTAAACTCAATCTTTCGATAGACTGGAAAGGAAATGATTACTATTGCTACTTCTATTTCTAAATTCTTTGGAGGTACTTGGATATCATGATGGTGAAAACTATCATGCTTCATGGTTTTACTGTACTGGAGGAAAATGGGTAGCCTAGAGAAGACAGGTAAGGAGACATCTCACATAGCTAGGGCCAATCCTGTCATAAGATTTGAATATCTGATGAGAGACTTGAATTGGTTTGGTATATTTAATGGGAAGTTAATGCATAAATCAGCATCTAGAATTGAGTTTACAGTAACAAAACTGCTATGGTACCAGGTGAAGCCTTTCTAGTTGTTTGTGGCTTTGCTCATTGAGGCCACACACATTCTGTTTGTACCAAAAATTATGGTTCTCCCAGAAATAACAAAGAAGTTTGCAGATATTTAAGCTTTTTATCCTAGAGCAAAAATGGCCACTCTTGGAGAAAACTAACCCAGTAAAGCCAGGGTTAAACAGCTTCCAGAAGAGTTTCTCCTAGGAAACCGAACATCTGCATACCTTCCACTGGCTTAACTCCCAAGGAACAGGAGGAACAGAGCCAGAGAGAAGGCTCCTGGGCCTTTCCCAGAGTGGAGTCATAGTCGGGAGAAGGCAAAATGGAACAACTGATCCCCTCCATCCCATAGTCCAGGAGGGAAGAGGGCAGGCTGTCAAATTAATGCTTCCGCTACGGGCAGGGGCAGCCCAAGAAGCAGCCCTCTAATCCTCCCTGGCTGGAAAGCTTGCCTGTGAAGCTCTCCAGCCATGGGGCTGGAGGAACATCTATACAGTCCAGCTCCTGGGCTATTTTTATACTGGATGAAATTTCTTCTAGTAGAAATAAATATTGGCATGTAGCCTTCAATATGAATAGCAATAATCAAACCCACTGGTCAAGTTTGAGCGCTCTGACATATGTACATACCAATTATCTTCAGTATATTGTAACAAGACTGACCAAGTCTCTTTGTAGTATAACTAGACAAAATGTATTCAATTATTCTGAAGCCCTTAACTCAGAGCAATTAATTAATTCACATCTTAATTTTAAAAGTTAATACTTCAGATCAGTATGAGCAGATACTGGAATTTCATACTTACAATTTTTTCAAAACATTTAAGATAGCTACCCAAAGACTAGGAGACCAGGCTGCTTCTATAGGATTTAAGAACAATGCATGATAACATTCTCCTCTGCCCCTTTTAATTTTTGATTTTCTCCTTCTCCATCATTCTCCCAGCTATATGCATAGTCTAAGTTGTTGCTTAAGTTTCCTGAAGTGGAGCAACTCAAAAAGTTTCCTTGCCTTTCCTGACTCCTCTTTCTAGGATGAAGCCAATACATTTCCCAAGACCAAAGTCTAATGATATACATCTTTCCTGAAATGCTGTGTCATTACTCATTTCTCAGGTGACAGCTGAGCAGAGATGAGAAATTCAATGAACTCCACACTGCACTGAACACATGCACAAACACAAGATACAGGTAAATAAGGCAGAAAGGTAAAACAGCAATTGCTGAAGCAAAGGGCATAACTAGTTTTGTATACCCATATGAAAAGAGATAGGGATTCATATATAAAACTGACAAAAAGATAACCATGTGCTTTGTATAACAATATAATTCTAACATAAATTGATTGGAATTTAAAATAATTATGCTGATGATAAAAGAGAAGAAACAGCATCCTGGTCAGTCTCTCTCAGCTATGATAGGTCTGCAGAGCTAACATAAACAACTCTGTCAACCATTCAATGAAAAGAAATAGGAGTTTAGCACTGTGTTAAAAACTTTTTTTGAAACCTAAGGATTCAAGAAACAGTTGTAAATGCTTAGGTTTCAATATCCACTTACACAGAACATGGAAAGAAAGCATTATGGATGCAATATAAAATCCTTTTTTGGACACCCTGTAAATTCTAATCTTTTAAACCACTGTACACATAATTCAACTATAATCCATAATGCACGTATTATTTTCTCCCTCCCACTCCAAGAATTTTACCTGCATCTTTTTGCACGTTCTGCGGTACGCCAAGGCAGGAAACCATCTGCACCTGGTGGTAACGGTTTGGGAGAATAACCATCTTTACCCAGTGGAGTCTTTTTTCCAGGACTTACAGATTTTTTTGATGCTAATCCTGTATTGGACAGCAGGAATAGAGGATAAAAAAGAGACTTTGTCAGAGCTACAACACAGAGAAACTGCAATAGCTAAAACTGCTTAGACGTTTCATTCAAAAGATGCTTTTGTACTTATTCATCACTTTCTCAAACATTCACATATCAAACTAAATGTTTTAGAAAGAATCTATAGATAAGAATGAATGCTTTTGTTTTTGAACACTTGAATAATAATGGTTGTTATTCTTGTGTAGAGTGCACTATTCAGTGGTTCTCAACCTTTTTTGTTCCAGGACCCATCTGTAAACATTGATGGCTGGTCTAGACCCAGTGCCCCTCGCCCCCAAACTGCTGTCCTCTGACCCCAGGCCCCAGCAGGTACAGTAGGGGGATGGGTGTGTAGAGGGCATAGGAGGCCCTAAGCAGCCCCGTTTGCAGGCTGAAAGTCTGCCAGCCTGCAAGGGAATAGCCAAGACTTCCCACGTTTTTCTCCTTTAAAGGAGAACCCACTTATTGCACACCACAACGTGCTTTGAAATAAAACGTGTTCGATGAGCTTTAAATCAAAGCACCCCGCCATCATTTTTTCAGCGCGGGGATATGCAGTGGCGCCGATACACGTGACGTACGGGCACTTTTAATTAGTGCAGCTCATTAATTAAGGCATCTGGGGCTGCATCCTACAGCATGTGAAAAAATGCCCTCTCCTTTGTGAAGTACTAGGAAAATGCACATTGGCCTATTTTAATGTGCATTAACTAAAGACCATGGTTCTTAAGTGATGCTTTAATGATCATTAAAATAGGCTAATGCACATTAAAGCAAACATGTAAACTACTACAAGACCATTTCAGGCTGGACATAAGGAAGAATTTCTTTACTGTCCAAGCCCCCAAGGTCTGGGACAGCCTGCCATCGGAGGTGGTTCAAGCACTTACATTGAACACCTTCAAGAGCAAATTGGATGCTTATCTTGCTGGGATCCTATGACCCCAGCTGACTTCCTGCCATTTGGGCGGGGGGCTGGACTCAATGATCTTCCGAGGTCCCTTCCAGCCCTAATATCTATGAAATCTATGTAGATACACCCAGTGTGACATCTGAAAACATATATGTAAGAAGTATAAATTTCTGGAAAATATCTTATAACAGAGCTAGATTTCTAGAAGTATAAATAGGCCCATTTGTGCTGATAAGACATGAAGTTCCTCCTCAGGGTCAAAAATGGTAAACAGAACTAAATTTTTTGTTTGATTTTATTATATTAAATGCCTCAAGCAGCACAAGCTTTCCTCCTCTACCTGCATATGCTCCTGAAATTCAACCTTTCTGAAACCAACCTGCTATGCACAATGTAACTTAATTATACTTACCTCTGTCTCTCCAAATTACTGAAGCAAAAGATGAAAGATGTAGTTGTCAGCTTTAGTTATTATTTATTTTGTAAAATATTTATAATGTAGTATATTATATATTTAAGTATGATTTAAATAGTAAATGCTGAAAACACCAAAGTTATGAATAATTTGTTCAAAGAGCACTTTTAAGTGAGGAGATAGATGACAATGTTTTGTACAATAGGGCAGATTCACTGCATTTTGTAATCTAGAAAGGTTGTGTTACCAGAAAGCCGATAACTGTTCTACCAAACCTTTAAGAACCAGAGCAGCTTAAAAAGTTAGAAGCTCTACTGAGGCTGCACTGGGAGCCTGCCCTCATTAGTCCCCATCCTCTTCCTTTTATAATTAATTGTGATGTTGTTTGGTACAATTCTGGAAAATCTTTCCTAAAAATCATTAAGAAATTGAGAGCAAGAGAAGTAGAAATTAAGGGGAAGAAATCATGAAAAATCTGTGTATTTAGTGCAACAGAAATTTTGTGGCAAGTTAGATTCTGCAACATGTTTTTGTTTTTCTAAGTTTATTCTTTATCCTGCTTTTAGTCTGTTCCAAATTCAAGTACTAAATCCTAATTTTCCAAGGCTTTAGTGAATATTGGTGAAGACTGTTTACCTCGTCATATGAAAACACTGGTCACCAACTGATCAAATTATTGCAGCAATATTTACAGAGTAAATTTATTGTCCCTGACAGTAGTGATATTAAGCATGCTTCCCTTAACGTTATTTTCATTTACATAACAGAGTTAAACAACAGTAATGATATTACCTGATATTTAGCTTAGGCAATATATGCTTCTTTCCCAGACCTTTAAAAGTATATTTTGTGCCTGAAAGCTTGTTAACATGTCTCCCAACTGTTTAACTGTTACAATAAAAGATATTACCAAACAAATCTTGGTTCTCCTCAACCAGAAGCAGTGTCGCTATCTTCAGGTACACTGCTGTGAGACAGTGCCAATTAGGTAACCCCACTTGGCCTGTACTGCCAAGTGGACGTAGCTACACATCTTCCAGTTTAGGAGCCTGTGTGAATCAGAACAGCATGTTGAAGGGCACTGCTGTTGCAGACAGTAAATTTATCATGTGGACATGGCCTGAATTTTATGCTTTCATACACTGGATTACTTCCCAGTACATTTAACTGGACCTGAAGTACAGCACTTACTGAAATTGTCCTACCTTCTCAAATAGATTAAAGGAAGCAGAGCACTAAAAACATGAATACAGCATACATGTTTCACAAATTCAGGACCCTTCTAGACATGCAAGTAAAGGCACAATGGAATCTAACTCAGGGGCCCTCTGTAAGTGCATGGCAGGAAATACAATTGTGGGATCACATATTAAATCCCATTATGTCTTATTGCTGGTGCGTGGGGAGTCCAATATCTCGATCCTGGGCTCCCCTGAACTAATTCCCATGACTGCAAGCCCTGCAGCTGACAGGGCTCAGCAGGGCTTGCAGCAGGGGCAGCATTCCCCACATTGACCCTGCTGCAGTATCTTTAGCCAATGCTGTGGGGCTGGCAGTGGGGCTGATGAAGCATCGTCAGGTGCAGGACTCGCAGTGTGGCAGTAGCATTCCCCACACTGCTGTCACTGCAAGCCCCACAGCCCATGTTGCTGCAGGACTTGCAGCCAGGGCAGCACAGGGGAACGCTGACACTGCTCCTGCTGCAAGCCTTGAAGCCAATGAGGCTGAGAGAGGCAGCATTCTCCCTGCTGCAAGGCCCACAGCTGACAGCGCTGCCACCACTGGAAGCCTTCTTCATCCGGCAGGGCTGGCAGCAGGTGGTGCCCACCTGTGTCTGGCAGCCCCTCAGTTGATGGGGCTCCCAGCCACAGGGGAACACTTGGCCACATGCTCAATTAATGGCATGATCAGAACCTGCTACAAAGTTATTACAAATTTTCTGTGGAATAACTTTGTAGCTTTTTTATTATGCCATTAATTTGTTGAAAGTGTAGCTAGGTCACACCTTAAGGCATGATTACCTGATTAATCACACCTTAAGCATAACATGTAGAAGGGGTCTCGGTGTAATTCTACCAAGCAATAAGAACAAACAAAAGCAAAGGCCTGGTCTCCAGTTTTGGCTCTGATATAGTTCTTCCAAGTTAGTGTGTGAGAAATGGCCACAGACTCTCTTAAAAAATTATAAATGGTTATTTCTTAACCAAAGACTATTATATTCATTTTCTTCCCACCAACCCTCCTGCTTCTCCCTCCCCAAAAACATATGATCTCAACAGGGGGTAAATGTGTACAGTTCTGTGATCTCCTTGGAGGCAAAAAAAATGTGCCCATGTCATTTCTATTTGCCATTTCTTCTATTTACCTCTGAATTCGTACTGTTTCCATTCATGAGAACATGGAGGTGAGGAGTGAAGCCAGGCCCAGGGCCCCACGCAGCACACATGCAGCTCCCCACACTTGCGCACCACCAGAGGGATGTCCCGTCCGATGGAGCCAGAGGCCTGACCCTGCTCCCTGCCACCACATGCAGCTCCTGGGACTCTGCCAGAAGTGGAGTGGAGCCCTGCCCCTGCTTCCCGGCAGAGTCCCACGATCTGCATATGGCAGCAGGGAGAGGGGAAGGCAGCCAGTCCCATCATGCTGGGCTTCCCCCGCAACCCGGTGGTGCATGAGTACCAGGAGCTGCATGTGTACCACGTGGAGCCTGCGTGATAGAGGTGGGCCGGCCTAATTACGCTCCTTGCCACCACATGAAGTCCCAGAACTGGCTGGAGCCAGGCAGCAGCACCTGCGTGGGTCACAAGCACCCCAAGGGCCCACTGCCTGCTGCTGTCCTGTAGTCCCCTAGTCAGATGAAATTGCCTGACAGGCCAGCCCCTATATTTTGCCCACCCCTGTTCTAGATCCACACAGACATTCACAACAGCAAAAACGTGTGTGTGTGTGTGCGCGCGCGCACGCGTGCGTGCGTTGGGGGGGAATTTAAAAGCTTATTTCTATACAAAAAGGAGAACTATATTACCAATACGAATAGTAGCTTTTCCTTTCCGACCACTTCCTAGGACAATTGTTCTTTTCTTTGGTTTACTTTTCAAAACATCCTTTGAAGAGGGAGATGTTAGCCACTTGTACTAGAATATTGAAAAAAAAAAACCACAAATATTTCATTTAGTAGCCAATATTTCTAAAGGTACTAGTTTAGTTTTATAATTAAGATTACACATTTTATTACTAACAAATAAATTTCACTTGTTATTAAAACTGCATAAGGTAAGGTCTCACTATTCAGGAATACAAAGAACTAAATCCTCAAGAGTTTGAAGAGATTTTGATTTAAATAAAACTCAGTACATTTTGACTGTAAACATGCCACACAACATTCAGGGAAATATTCTGAAATTATCACTACAGCATACTCCCCTCCTCCATTTTTATTTCTTCTGGAAAAATAGATCTGTTATTACAGTAATAAAAATGGCACCTGTGCTGAACATGGCAACTCTGGCACCTGACTTTCATGCTCTACATTGAGCTGACTTCATAGGAATCAGGGTATAGGCTCTGGGTACATTACTCCAGACAAATAATGACTTGCAAACAAAAAGGTTTTTTCAAAGCAGCAAACATTACAAGAATTTGAACTACATCTGAAGTCATCGAAGTGAAAACTGTGTTTTGGAATTACTACTTTCCTTTAAGGTTACACTGCACAACTCCGTAAGCTCTCAAAAAGAATTAAAACTTGTGAACAGCCCTCTAAGTTTATAACCAAAGCATTTATTCCAATATCTTGTCAGTCTTTTTGAGTGCGCTACTCAAAAAGCAGGTATGTTAGAGCTTGGGATTCCACTCTAAAAAAAAAAAAAAACTTATGTAGGTTTGAAATTAATACAAAAGTATTTGCATCATACCAGAAAGTTCTTTCCCCAGGCACTATTAAGCACAGTGAGGCTCAGAGGAGTGTCATGTAATAATACTATATTCTTCAGATTTTACTGCAGAACCAACACAATTAGGGAAAGTTAACTGGATATTAATTTAAATCTGCCTCATTAGTCAAAAGAACTTTTAAGCTTTGGTCACAGAATTTTTTTCTATTAGTGAGACTGCTAAACAGAAATAAACTTAAATTGTAGAATTTGCAGTGGAGACTTTTTAAATTTCTTCTTCTAAAGAATCCAGCATGCTGGATCCTAGTATACAACAAAGGCTCCAAGGGCAGCTATACTCAAGCCATAACGATGTTCTGATGCACTGCGCTGGAGCATGGTAATTACTGCACCCCAGCAGCCTCCAGTGTCTTGTATATCAGCATCTCCACATTTAAAAATGATGATGGGGGCACTTTATCTAAACCTCATTCAACAAGCTTTAGATACAGTGCCCCCGCCACCATTTTTAAGTGCAGGGACACTGATACACAAGACACTCCAAGAGCCGCTCTAATTAAAATGTTCCCCCCTGCCCCATCTCCCCCCAGCGCACGTATAAAAGTCCCAAGGTATTTCAGTAATACTATAACAACTTGACTTTCGAAGTACAGGTTGCATTTCCAGGTCTGACAAAAAAAATAAAAAGATGTTACTTATCGTTAACTATTGCTCTTGAAGTTTCCTCTGTATATATATACTCACTTGTCATATGCCACATATAAGAATACATCACTGGTATCAAACTGCCTTGAAGAACTATATATTGGGGGGGGGTGTAAATAAAAGAAGTCCACCGTCAACAAACCAAGTTTCCTCTCCCTATGTACAGAATACTAATATTACATAGAACTTCATGGTAGAAGGGGAGACAAGCTGGTTGTGTGAACACACAGGTAACTCTTGAAAAAGTTAATGATATATAACTTCTCTTTTCTTCTTCAGAATCCTACCAGCATTTCCACTTGTGGAAGTCTAGCAAACAGCAATCCCCTGGAAGACACAGATCTAGACATGCTTACGTCACTCACAAGAACTGGGCAAGGGAGTGTGAGGGGCCATATCTCATTCCATCTATTAAGCACCTAAGCACAATCCTATTCCACCTTATCCAAGTCCCCAAAAGTTATTAAAATAAAGATTCTGGTGGGTACCCTTCTCCTCACTACTTTTTGTATTTTAGTTTTAAGGCTCAGATAATTGCATGCTATAAAAATAGATGTCCAATGTTTTTTCAGGGATATGAGGAGAGAGAATTGGATCACATTTAAATTGGTGGAAGACTAGGATGTAGTTCTAAACTTCATCTTTGCTTACCTCCACCCAAGGATTCAGCTTAAGATAGTGGTATTGTGGTAGTTCTTGTGGAATGGGTCTCCCTAATATCTCTCCACACACAACTAATAATCTACTGGGCTTTCTGAAGGCATTTCTTGGTATTTGCCAAGTAAAGGAAAAACCCTTTTTTATACTGAGGGCAGAGGATTAATACCTCCTGCATTGAAATGTGGACTAGTGAAGAAAGCAGAGGAAAATTTCGAGAAAGGTGAAAATCTGAGACTTCCATAGAAGTGAAAAAGATAGTTCCTTGTGGTGACTGTTCTTCTGAACCACAGTAAGCAGGCAAAGTAGCCAATGAAATTGCAAAAAGGTAATTGATATTAGAAGAATATTCTGATTATTCAACTAAGAGTAGAGATGAATATTCCCTGCTGTTTGAAGAGAACAACCACCACTGCAAAGTTGTGCTGCAGCTTCTTTCTTCAGTGGGCAAGCTGAAAGTTCTGAAGTGGTAATTTTTTTTTTGTCTAGACACAGGATCGCAGGTAGTTGATACAAGTCTGCTTAAGCCATGAGAATGGGCATCCTTTTAGCTGGTATTCAGTTTGCAAACTTCCTGCAATAAAAAAGGATAATATACCCTAAGGCTGACTTAAATTTGAACAGCCTTATGTTCTCATTGATATTTCTAAGATATGTCTCAATCACTCTTCTTGAGGGATCAGGTAATAATCCAAATCAACCCTTTCCTTCCACGTTGGTGTGGAACCTCCTCCCTGGTTCCTTCCTTTCTAAGAAAATTCACTTCTTCAGTAGATCACTTTTGTAACAGGTCTTGCAAAAGAAGTAAAAGATAGATTGGAAGGTATGTAAAGGAGAATCTATATCAGAGGCGGGCAATTATTTCAGGTGGAGGGTCCCTTACCGAGTTTTGGCAAGCTATCAAGGGCCACATTGCTAGCTACACCCCTTGACAGGTGCCCTGCCCCCAGTCACCGTCTTGTTACCAGTAGTCCTGCCCCATAACCCCTGACCTTTGCCACCAGAAGTCCCTCCCATTGCCCCCAGAAATACTCCTTTCAGGAAGGGGTTTTGCCATCTCAGAACCAGAAAAACACCAAATTATATTCTAAAAATCAAACATCTACAACACTCATGAATTTGATTTAAAAAAATATTTTTGTCCTGGTTTACACGTTTGTGTAGTGTACACAGAGGTGATTGCACAATAGCTTAAAATGAAGTCTTACTCTTGTACACTGGGGGGAGGGGGGGCATGAGTATAGGCTTGTGGGCACAGGCGACTGGTAGAGTGGGGGCCCACTCAGGACAGGGCAGGTTTTTTTGCCATGCAAGCTAGTGGTATGTGGTGGGGGGGGCACTAAGCCATGGCACAGAAACATAGGTGTATATATGGAGCTTTTGGCCTGCCCCCAAGGCCTGCCTACAAATTGTGCCCCCCCAGACTCAGGAGGCACAAGTCACCCCTGCCTGTGGGAGCTGTTAGTGTGTGTGGATATGTGGGGGAGGATGTGGACATGGGGATGCGAGGGTGAGGTGATGGAGCATATGTGTGCGCGCGCGCAGATATGTCAGATATCGGTGGATATGGGGTTTGTGGGGGACCATGGCTGGGCTGGGCTGTGTGAGGGGGTGTGGGTG